CTTCTATAGATAAGTGCCTTGGATATGCATGAGAAGCAATGAAATTTTTATTATTCAGACATGTTATGGTGTAGCCAAAGGGGTTTTCCTCTTGTGAATGGGGGGAGTGGGTAGGTCAGGTGAAAAGATGTATGTGTGACTTCTGCTGTACCCCTACAAATTTCCACTGAAGGCTAAGAAAAAGGATTCCCCCCCTTCAATTTTTCCATTGACTACATCTATCTACCTCCACAGCATTTTTGTTGTGCCTGACTTGCTGTGATGAAAATGGCATTACATGAATGTTGCTAACGTTTGCGAGGGTTCAAAATGAAACAGTATGATTGCTTGATTTAAGGTGGCTGGCAAACTTGGAAGAGTGTGGGCAGTCTGATGTAATGACTGGCAACCCTGCCTACGGCAGAGGGGATAGAACCGGATGGTCATTGAGGTCCCTTTCAACCCAAGCCATTCTATGTTTTCACTGCCAATTCTTAAGAATCATCAATGATCCTGTTCCATATTAGTGTTTTTTAAGCAAGTAGCTGGTCCTGCAGTGAGCAGAGCAATGCACCCCTACCTGTGCCTGCTTTGGGCTTAGTCATTAAAAGGCTCTGTAAACAGCCCAGTACTTCAGTGAATGTGTGTGATTCAAAATGACTTAGAGGTGTTTGTAAATGTTTTACCTTTAGTCTGGGGGAATGCTTCACAGAACATACGTATTTTGTTTGCTACTCATGGGATGTCATGCAGCCTTTAGATAAGAAGGGATGTGTAGTTAACAAAATACACAAGTTAGAGATGTAGTCAACGAAATACGTAAAGCGGGGGCTGTCAAGGTCCTGGGATGTGATCTTAAAGGTTTAGCAATGCTGGCTTTGCCTGGTCCTGGATTAGGAAAAATCTTATTCCTGGTTTCCTTGGCAGAAATCATGATAGTGTAGAACAGGTGATGGATATTAAACTCAGGAACAGCACACATGGAAAGATTTAATTTAGCTCCTTCATTGTTGCTGAGCTGACAGATGACAACAACATAACAACAAACTGCTGAACTGTTTCCAGTCCCAAAGAAATTAAGCTTGTTGGTGAGTCCAAATTCAAAAGCTGTGTGTTAGTGAGGTGAAAGCCAAAAATATAGAAAGCTGTATTCACTGTACTTCTTGTGAATGCATTACAGGGGGGAAGAAGTGATGTTATTCCCTTGTTACTTGTCTGTCCAGTGGAAAAAGTATTTCTCCTCAGATGGACATCTCTTGGCTTCAGTTTCTTTTGCTGCTTGGAAGGATTTGAGTACATGGCATTTGTCTCCCAAGATGGTGCTCTAACAGTTTGCTACTGAGCTGGTAGATTGCTATCAGCTTCTCCTATCCAGAACGTTCTGCTTTTTTATTAGCACTTAGACAGGACTAAACAAGAGATCAGAACTAGAGATTGTAAGGGGTCTGATGTAGAGCTGAGTGAATACAAAGCGTTGTTCTGAAAAGGAGATGATGTTTGTGCCTTTTATTCATTTTAATCAGGCAGACAGTAATTCTGAGCTCCATAGGTAATAGTTTGAACCATCAAGCTGAAGTCATTAATGTTTTCTTTAACAAAAAGAGAGTAAATACTTAATATGCAGTGGAATAGATATGTATTGCAAAAGACTGGAGAAATCACCATGCAAATCCAGCAGTGAAATGCTTGTCCTGGAGATACAAACACAGTTAAGCTCCCTTCAGGCAGGAGAGACATTTGAGCCTTGGTCTCCTACATCCTGACCCTGGCCTGTTGCCTTCTGTGCTATTATTGCAAGTGTTTCCAGAATAGTTTGGTTTAAACAAAACCACAGTGAATTAGATGTGAATTTGCAGATGATTACTGTGTGAGTGTGAGAGGCAGAGGCTAAAATGGTGTGACAAAAAAAGATCTACCCTGCTCTACTGAGCAGCTCTGATATTTCTACTAGGAGCATGAAAATATTTCCAGGGCACCTGAATCACTGGTATTTCCAGTACAGAAGACAACAGGAGCTTCATAAACATGTCTGAACTGCTGCTTCTCCTTGGTGGAAAGCTGCGCAGGTTTTGTTGTTATCAAAACTGAAACCAATACAAGAGTCAGGCTGAAAGATCTTAATGTGCCTAGAAATGAGATTCGTAGTAAGTAACATAATGACAGCGTTAACTTTTATTGACTGCGAAACTTGATTAACGAGCTATTATGTGCAGTGGACTGCAGCCTGAGATGAACAGTGTGTCCTGAAACTGCTGCATCACTTCTTGTCTGGGTGAAGGGGAAGATGTTTCTGCAGACTCCTCCTCTGTACGCCCCCTTCCTCAAAAAGAAAATCCGAAACGATAACGTGATATTTCTTGCCTGGGTAGAGCACTGAAAGTCACTTCTGATGAAGGGACTTTGACAGGTTGGGCTGAGTGCTATTTCTGTAGGGAAACCTTTAAAACAAATTCTAATTAAAAAGCATTCCTAGAAATGGTTCCCTGACCTATCTACTCCTTACAGTAAATTATTCTACTTCTAGATTAAAACTTGCGTTTCGTACCCTTTGAGTTGATACAACTTTTCCACCATGCTCGACCACCACTTTTCCCATCACGCACCTCTTGCTGGTGAGTGGGTGTGCCATTGTGTTCCATGGCCATTAGAAGAGTGAGAGGGAATCCTCTGTGGTCTCTGATAAGCAGTGCTTTCAAGTAGATCTGCGTGGGCTGTGTTTATTCGTGAGAGATGAGTGTGTCCTAAACGCTACAGTGACTTTAAGAAAGGGGTTTCCCTAAGCCTGGTGTGTAGGTTAAATCTTGAGATAGGTATATATTTGCTTCCAAACCACTTAGTTCTTATTTGATTCAGAGAGCCTTGATTGAGACAAGTGCATACCAGCCCAGCAGCACAGAGATGAGCACCTTGCCTAAAATGGTGAGTAACTGTTGCGTTTGAAGCTGTCATCTCTAGGTCTCTGTCTAGCCTCAGGGTGAAGTCATGTGCCTCTTTGCCCTTTTCATTTGCCAAAAAGATCTCAAATCCCAAGCCTGATGTCTTAATAGCTTTTTTTTTTTTTTTAATTACATCTTAATTTTTTAATAATTATTGTGTATAAATCATGTAATTTATGAACATTTATACCCTGTTATAGCAGAGCTTCTACACTTTTTCTGCACGAAGATGGACAGTGAAAGGTAAAGGATTATTGCCAGGTAGAGGATTAGGGCTATGTCAAACGTTTAAGTAAATCTAATGATACGAAGATTCAGTGCATGTCTGTTGGTTGCACCTGGACTTCCTTGGGTAGCATTTCTGCTGAAACCTTTGCACCTTTTACAAGATCTGTAGACCATGATATGTCTGTGCAGTAACCCTGCACTACTGCTGAGACTTGTTGAGCAGGCAGAGCATTCCTGTGGTTGGATTTGTGACTAGATAGAGGAGGGCCTTTATCCAGATTTGCTATTGTTTTTTCCATCATGTGTAGCCTTTGAGAGTGGTCCGTGTCCCTGGCTTGGAAGCATTCCAGCCCTGAAAAAGGAATGTTTGTATCTACATAGCTAGAAATTTCAAGTGGTAAATTTGGGGTTAACAAGCATAAGCAGGAGGCACTAGGAGACGAGATATGTATAGGGAGAGAAGAAAGCAAAAATGTTTTAACTACTTGTCTGACAAAAGGCAAAGCTGCAGCACTTCTATCTGCTGCAGTGAGAATTAGCCCTTTTGTTTTCAGAGCCAAAGGTGCTCGCTACCAGAGGACCTGCACAGTCCTTGCACTGGGGCAGCTGTAGGAAACTCCCTGCTCTTGTTCCCCCATTTTGAAATAAAGTAGAAGTTGTAGATACACCTGTGATAACATGAAAATACTCACAGTACCCCACTAAGATGCCCGGGGAAAGAGATTTTCTTAAAGGGCCATCTTTCCTAGACTTGCTGCTGGATCTGCATTATGCCAAGATGTACTACTAGCAAAGTCCTAATTTCTAGTAGCAACAGCAGTTTTCAGGAGGGTGGGTACACTGAGTGTACCCAAGGCAACATGCGTTTCATGGGTTTCTGAGTTGCTCAGCACTGGTTCTCCTTCCAGCTAAGAAACACTGAGCTTTTTTGGGCGACTGTTTTTTTCAGATTGTTCGTATCTTACTATGTACTCCTCTCCTTTCTCATTATTTTGTCCTGATATTTTGAAGCTTACTTGGAAAATACAAAATTTAAATATATTGGAGCTGAACTCCTAATCCAAATCAGATTTTTTTTTAACCTTCTCAACATTAAACTTTTGCTCCCACAGCTGTACATCTTTTTTGTGGGTAGGTCTGCCTCTATCTAGAATGCTTTTATCATAAACTCCTTCCCAGTCACATGGGCCCTGCCCTTGGAGTGATCTCCTTTCTGTTACTATGGCAAGTTACCTATTTGTACTCCAGAGTACAATTTCCAAAGTCATTGGGCTTAATAGATCTTAAATATTTTTCTTCTTGGCATGAATTGCACAAGGAAGTTCCATTGTTTCTTTCTCCTTTCTTAACGTTACGGTTGCACTGTAGTGAGATCTCCATTGGAAATCCTTCAGGAAAAAAACAAAGCCATTTATATAAAATATGTACTTAATTTTGCTTTTACCTTACAGCACACTTCCTTTCTAGCTCTGTATGCTTTGTAATGAGTGCTGTCTCTACTTTAGTGATTAGTATTCACAAAAAAATCTATTTTTTCACTGCACTGTTTAAAGCTGACATTTAACAAACAGTAGTTCTGTCCCATCCTGCCCACCCACAAGTAAATTGTCATGCTAATTGAATTTAGATAGAGATACTGAGAGCAACTGGAAAGCCTTCACAATGTGCTCTTGTGGGAAGGATGCTTCGTTTATAAATGTTCTTCCAAAGAACTGTCTGTTTGGCAGATTTTTGTTTGACTTATCTATGGTTTCTTGACTAAAAAAACAAAACAAAAACTTTTAAACAAATCAAATATATTTATTGTTGAAGACTTTATTTTATTTCAACAGTATATTTTTGGAATTAAACCTTATTCTTTTAACAACAATTTGCCTCCATAGACTTTGACTACAGTAAGTATCTTCAGAGTATCATTGACAGCCACCAACTCTGCTGTGCAGTGACAGGCTTACATTAAACAAACCTACCATTTTCTAGAAATGATCTAACAGCATTAAACATGAGGAGTGGTGTCTGAAAATCAGTGACAGGTTGCATATAAATATCAGAGAGTCTTAAATAAATGGAAGTTAAATTTTGTCTTGAAACACAGAAAAATTTGTGATGTTTTGGGTTGCAGTTGCCATACATCTTCTAGCACTTTCCAAGTGTGTTGTAAAACTCTCCAAATCGAAAAAGCTCAGCTGCCCACCCCCTTCACCAATCTCCCAACCTTATAATAATTACAAATTAGTTTGGTGTTTTGTTTGTTTGTTTTTTTTTTTTTTTTTTACTTTTATGGCTTCCAATGAGGGTAGGGAAACAGAGAATGACTTTGCAGAATTTTAAGAAAACACTGAGGTCATTTTGAGGCATATTGTGTATGGCTATGGCAGCTTGGTGATGTTTGACTTCTACTGGTCACTTCTTAGGTGGCTCTTGCACATTAGAAGCATAGTCATAATATTCTTAGCATGGAATGTATCTTTTGAAGCCTTTCAAATAATATTCTGTGCTTCAGATTCATCTGTGCAGATGCACACACCCTGGGCAAGACACTGTCTGGTTTTGGTAGCTTTTGTGCCTTGATTTCTGCTTGGTGTGGTTTATGTTCACCTGGGAATGTTTTTCTCACTTTAAAGACCTTGAGAAACTGCATTTAAATCTGAAAATGTTTGGAAATAGTAAAATGGACCAGTTTTCAAACAAATAAACACGTCTAACAGTTTTTCTTCTCTTTTAACGCACTGTAAAAGTGATACATTGATATGTTTTTTATTATTTTTATTTATTTATTTTAGCCAAGTCATGTACTTAGAAACAGCAATCTGTACTCCCCGCTTCAACTCATTCGTGCGTATGGCAGTGGAAACATTTTCAGACCTCCTGATGTGGAAAGCCAGTACTCGTAAGACCAAATAACTAAACAGCAGATACTGCCTATCAGTGCAAAGTCATCGCCCCATATCACGTATGAGAAAGCCAATGCAAAGACTAAGCTGTGTGTTTTATTTCCTGGACAAGTGCTAAACAGCTTACAGTGCAGAGCTTCTCCAGAATCACACTGACTTGATGCTGAAATCCAGACATTTATTTCTGGGTAGAAATAGCATAGTCAGCCTTTAATTGCTTCATTCCTCAGTCAGGTCCACTGCAACGGCTTTCTGCTGTTTAGGGTTTTAATTTATCTTTCTACTGTTTGGGGTTTTACTTTATTTTATTTACTGAATCATTTGTGATTATTTCAGGAAATGTAAATAGGCTACTTACTAAGTTCTGGCTATCATGGATTTGTGGGACAGCATCTACAAATTAGGGTATTTTGCATATTTACCATTCTTATGCTGTGTTACCCTAACCAAGAATAACTGCACTTAATGGTGAGATCACATTTAACAATTAAATTTTCCTGCATCACATATTGCAGGTACCAGCTTCATCGTATCAGAATCAAGCTGGGCAAAACAGAGCTGAGAAACCTAGGAACTTGTCATTTTTGACATAGATGAAGCATCAGATTTATTTTTTTTTTTAGTTATAAGCTGTCTAATATTGAATTTTCAGTACTTTACAAGGGAATAACCAGGAAGGAGGAAAGAGGACTGGGAGATGTTGGGGCTTTTTATGCTGTGCTTGTATGGCTGAAGCTGCATTTTCAGCAGCGGATACAGAAGCAGAAAGACATACAGCGTCTGGTTCGGGGCTGGCTGCACTGAACATTACTGCTGTTGACAAGTATTAAACCTGGAGCAATCCAGGGAGGAAGGCATTGCAGAAATATTATTTCATATTTTACTTCTTCAGAGCTACAGGGCAAACAAACAAATTTGAAGGCTTTATTCCTTTTTTAGATTAGTTTCAGTTTGGATGTCTTTCATGAAATTTTGTTGGACTTTTTTTCCCTCTGGTTGCTCTGCCATTTTGATCACGTTTACAGTAACAATCTATTTCTTTCCCCCCTACTCCTCCCACACAGCAGCCTTGCACTGATAATGTGTAACCTGACAGTTGTTTATCTGTGGGCTTGTTTGTGATTACATATGTTCCATTTTGTTTTGGAGCTATTTTGCAATCTGGGTATTACTTAAAGGTGGTGATTTTGCTTAGTCTGTCTATGACAGCTAGCCCTAGGTCTTCTACAGTACAAAAAGTAAAAATCAGTGAGAAGGTAACATATCCATCAGTTTGTTCCCCATGTGTAATTTGCTAGCATGTGCTTCTGTTTATTTTTGTGTGTGTGTGTGTTTTCTGCTCCCTGCAGCACTGTGACAGTGCCAGTTTATGGTGGTGTTTTCTATAACTGAATCAGTGAGCCAACCCAGACAAGGTGTGCAGAGGGAACACAAAATCCCTTTCCCTTCTCTGCCTCCTTTCAGCCAGTCCATTTCTGGGAGCCATCTTGCATTGCATCCCCACAAAATGCTGCTTTGGTACAACAGAAGAATAAGTTAGTTACGGCACGTGTTTGGGGAAAATGAGGAAAGGTTCAGGAAAATAGGATGCTCTTAAGATAGTGGTAGGCTTGGAGGGCAAAAGAGAATGTGGCAGGAGGCAAAGCAAAAATACAGATGTTTGTGAAAGGAATTTCAATTAACGGTTTGAAATCCTAGATTGATAAATGCCTGGGTGGCTGTTATTATTTTTATAATTAATATTTTACAAGAATTAGTGAGTCTTGTCCCTCTTTGGGGAGCTTTTTCTCTCAAAGTGCATTTTACACATGGAAATCTTCCTTGTTAATGGATGTTAGTACTCCAAACAAAAAAGTCTCTTACAGCCTGTTCAGGTATATTAAGGAAGTACTTAGGTCTTGAGTTATTATTGGAGGGCTGATAAACTTTTGCATGCTTTTTACTAAACATTTTCAATTACAGCTAGAACACAAATATGTGAGAAAAATGATCCTCTTTTTCTTCATCGTGTTCCTATTTATTTTTTAATAGCCTTGACAGAAAGCAGAAAATTTATGTAATTCCGAGCAATCCTTGCCATGACAATTATAACCCCCTATTTCTACAGAGCCTTAATTCTTTGAAGTAGATGAATTTTTATCCAACTCAACTTCAATTTGTCTGATCTACTAAAAGCCTTACAGCATTAAAGTATCATTGAAAAAGCTTCTAGTTCCTTTCGCAACAAAAATGTGCATGTTTTGTGCAATTGTCCAGATGACTCTTGCTCAGACATATAACTGTAGATTTAGATGTAGGACAATTAGTGCTGCCAACACGGATTGGACTCATTTTGTCAAGAAGAACCAAAATGATTTAAAAAAAAAAAAATTAAAAGCCATTCAGAACTGACATACTGACACTACTGGCAACTGGTAATATCAAAAAGCCATGAGAAATGAAAGGCAAAGACATTACCCTGCATCAACACAGTCATCCATTCATTTGGAGATCAAGGGAAACAGATCAAAGCAGGTGGCCACGCTGCACTGTTGCTTGGTTGGCAGCAGCCTGGCCATGATCTGCAGTGTAGATCACGCTGCTCTTAGCAGTATCGAACTGTCTGCTGCTTTTGTGCCAGAGCCTCTGCTGTTTAGATGAACAGGTCTGTCACTGCAAAATCATGCAACAATCTTTTTCTTTCTTCTTCATTCCTTCTGCCCACACCCCCAAACATGCTTTACTTTCTGCTGCATACATTTTACCAATTGGTCAGTAACTTTTAACTTTTATCCCTTTAACATGGCATATTTCTTTAGTATGTGGGCTGTCCTACTGTGTCTAACTTTGCATGTGGATCTGAGACTTGAAATATCTAAGTCCATAGAATGAATTAAGGAAGGAATGGTAGTTTGAATTATGGCACTAGTTTGTTTGTTTGTTTGTGCATGTTCATTTTACTTTTTGTTGGGACTGTTTATTCCAGGTCAACATTTTTTCAAAATTGGTATCTTATTAAACACCTAAATGCCAAGTATTATAGTCATAGATTTGCAGGCGTTGGAAGGGACCTCTGGTGGTCATAGAGCCAAGATAAAATCTAATCCCCTAGTATTCCAATTACAACTACAATAATGCTATTCTTCTGTCACTTTCTCCTAAAGAAAAGAATAAGACTCATGAACTCCTTTCCTGGTGAAATAGAGGTGTCCCACATACCATGAAGAAACATATTCTGGGATGATGTTGGCCTGCAGTACAGGCACTGGGATGACTTCTAGGGATGAGGTGGCATGACTTGGTCCCTCTGTACTATCTGTTCTCTCATTTGTAATGGAGAGGTGATTGTACTTCCAATATCTGTCCTTTCCTCTGGGAACAATGTTTTTTCTTCTCATTTCCAATGAGAATTGTATTTCCAATACAATGCTAGACAGCAGCTAGCCCTGACCAGAGGGAAGCTTATGGAAGCTTGTATAGTTTGTGAACAGTGCATTTGTGTACATTAACTTAAGCAAGGCTCCTACTCTTTTCTTTCCAAGTTATTTATATTAGGCCCCTACTCATCCTCTTAAGCTTGAGAGTAGTAGTTTTACTTTATACTTCCGTGAAATGTTCATTTTCTGGTTAATCTGAGGATATACATGAACTCCAAGCATTTAAAACAATTGATTACTTTAGGATGAATAATAATAGTCACAAAAGTACCTTTCCCATCATTTCCAATATTTGCGTGAGTACTGGCAGCTTTGCTTCTTGGGAGATACCCGCTACCACGGCTAGAGAATGCTGTTGCTTCTGCTGTTGCAAAACTGCTCCTGTTACAATGATGGATTTAAGAGATTATAATGGTGAGCTAGGAGGAAGTAGATTCCTGGCCTACGTCAGCCCTTTACGGGATGGAAAGAGAAAACAGGAATGCAGACAATGCACGATTATGTTGTCTTGTGATTGGACAGTTGAATTTCTTCTGAGATTATTAATCTATTTATTTCCACTCTGAATACACTCTTTTTTTTTTTTTTTTTTTTTTTTTTTCCTTCTCCCTAATAGATTCACTGTGAAAAGTTCAAAAGGAAGAATAAAGAGGCAGAGAATCTTCTAGAATTGTGTTCCCATCAGCATGTTGAGATGGAAAGGTATGACCAGTTTCATATCTTTATTTTTCTTGTGGAGAAACTTCTCCTTTTATTTCATTTTTATTTTTTACTTTTTGTCATTTGTATTATGCTACTAGAACTGTATAATCAAGCTTTTCCTGCATTTGTCAGTCTATTTTTCTTTCAGAAACTCAGCCTAATACAATAATTTTTTCCCACGTTAATCTGTCCAGTGGAGATCTGTGTCATTTCTGTTTAAACGAGTAAAACATGGGCATATTATGTACTGAAAGAATCATACAATAGTGTAGGTTGGAAATGACTTGAATATTGTCTGGACCAGTGGGTTTAGTCTGATCAGATGGCTTAGAGCCTATCTAGGCAAGTTTTTAGTATTTCTGACTACAGAGATTTTGTGGCTTCTTGGGTCTGCTTGCTTCTTTGTGAAGTAAAACTAGTTCTACTGATAATAGCAGGAAAAGAGGTTGTACGGTAGGATGGAGAGATACTTCATTCAGATAAGGAGGTCACAGTATGGTTAAGAGTGAGGCTGTGATGATGACAACCCATTTCTAAGATTCAGTGAGTCATTAGGAGATTAAAGAAAACAAATAGTGCTGAGAATTTAAATGAATAGCTGTAACCCGTAAGACAAGCTCTGACAATAATGATGGCAATAAATATTTCAGGTAGTTGAGGATGGTTAATACCTTTTAAAGCTACCATTTAATCGTAACATGCAAGTGTGAGAGAGGAAAATAAACAAAATGAAAGGAAAGTGTAGATGTTTTTGTAACGTTTAGGAAATACATAGTCCTGTATCCATCTTTTCTTCTGGAAAAAAACGCTTTTTCTTCAAGTTAGTTTGTGAAATAAGTGGATTTTGAAATTGCTTGGGATTTCCCATTTGCTGAAGACACTGTGTGCTACTGCTAATGTAGTTTGACTCTAATCCATCTGCGATGGCAGGGATGTGTCAGATTCCTTTCAGACAGTGGCATCCCTGGTGAAAGCAGATGCCAGGTGCTGGCAGTTCAAGCACTGGATCTGTGACACAGACAGCTGTGCAGTGAGCTTCCTCTGTGTTTCATTGGGCTGCCTAACAGCTACCACAGGCAAGAAGTTGACTTGAGTCAACAGAGCTGATTATCCTCCTCAGCTACTGTAAGTTAATTTCCTGCTGAAATTCCAAGTGGTGCTCTGTTTATTTTGCTTGCATTGTTAGTAGACAATAGGAAATACATAAGATCTATGGGGGAGAAACTGACCCAAATGAATCCTGGGCTTGTTTTGCTCCAAAGGTGCCCTGATTAGTGAGGGTTTTGGTTGATGCATCTACATCCTGACTGGGGGTGAGCTACGAGGCAGAACAGGCAGTGCGTAGGTCTTGATTGGCTTGCAGTGATGCCTGATTGAGGAAGAGAGAGAGCAGAGGTGCAAAACACCAGTTAAAGGAGCAAGCAGGCAGTGCAGAAAGTACTGCTGGAGGGTAACTGTTTCAAAAAGGTGCCTGCTGAGGCCAGGAATGTGCCCTAACAGGGGCTCCAGCTTTTCCTGCTATTGGTCTTCATAGAAAGAGAGCACTGAAAACATTAATTTTTGCTCTGCTGTAGATTTTTCTCCCTTTTTGTTGTTAACTCTTAGTTTTTGACTCTTTCAACGCTTTCCTGCTGTCTCCCACCAGCTTTCTGCAGGTGTGAGTTTCAGCAGAGTAAGGAGTTGATCTACTCAGAAAGCACACACTTGGCTGAGCTTTCTGCTTCGGGTGATTTTCAGAGAAAAACTTCAATTCCCTTTCAATTCCCTCTCCCTTCCCCCCATGGTCCACACACAGCTGCATGAGCCCTGCGAGGGGAGTCTGGGTGACAGTGCTCCATGTGCTGCTTCTCCTGGGGTCTTCTGTCACTCGAGGCTCGCGTGAAACCTGACAAAGTTAGTGAAACTCAGTCCATGACTTCCCAGGGGTTTGAATTTCTCCCAAATTCTGTCCATTGTAAAGAACTTGAATTACAGCTTTGATACTGTAATCAAGGAGAAGATCCTAGTAAAAGGGGAATGATACAACCAGTTTAGCTGTTGCCTTCTCGCATGTCCCATATCTGTTGAAGGGAACAGCCAACCACTGGAAAATACGGAGTGCCTGCATATCGGTAGCTTTGCTTCTCTCTTCATTGAGGAGGGACAGATTACGTGAGCAGCTTCAGTTAATCACCAGACCAATTTTTTGGCTTCTTTTCAGAGAAACCAGATGTGTTTCCATTGAGAACATGCACCTCTTTTGTTGTTGCGATTTGTGTAATTCTTAAAATTAAGCAAAACTATTAAAGAATAATTGTTTCTGTTCACATTTATGGCACAGCTTCTCCAGATGTGGCATTTGACAGCCAAACAGCTGCTGGCTATTAAATGTTCCTTAAAAGCTCCATTCCTTTGTCGTAAAGGGAACAGAAGTGTAGGGACGTTTATGGGGTGACAGGCAGATGTTTTGGCTGAATCGCATTTGAGCGAAAGTTTAAGTGGTTTCTCTGCTGTAGTCTCAGTGTACACACTCGTTATAATCCATATCATACAGCTTGCCTTGTGGAGCTCTCTCCTTGGGAGTGGAGCAAGATTAGGTATAATCTTGTACTTAGCTCCCAAGTACCAGTGCCAGCCCCCTTTTCCCAGCATCTGGGACCTCTCACTCTAAAGACAGTACAGTTCTGTGAGGTGGAGCTCAGCTGCTGCTGGTGCCGGGCTTTCCAGTTACACTTTTGAAATACCAGATGAATTTTGTTGTTCCTTTTCTTTCCCTCTTTCTTGTTTATTTATATCCTCACAGTCAACAAAGGCAGGTTCTTTCTGCGCGCTTGCACTGGTGCAGAGCGCTTCATGTCTAATAGATGTCTCTTATGGTGGTGTGTGAGAAGAGAAATGCAGAATGTGTGCAGTTCCATCCCAGGAGATGAGGCTTGGATTCCCAGCCCTAAGCTCCAAGTGGAGATCTGCTTGCTGGGTGTTGAGTACTGGAATAGCATGGCTGATTCTTAGGGAGCTGCACTACATTGTAACTATTGTTTATCAGCTCAAGAACCCATGGTTTGCTCATGGCTTACTAAAGCTCTAAGAGTTCATGAGGTTATGAAAGAGAACAAAAACAACAGTAATGAAAAACACACCCAGTTCTATAGCAAAAGTCGTCTTGTTTTTTTGGCGAAAGATTTTTCTCTCTTCAAAGATTGGCAATTCTTTGTCATTTAGTCTTGGGTGGGTAAGATTTTAATATAAAAATCTTAAGATATGTGCATGGAAAAAAGCCTAGAAATTGTTGTACAAAACTGAATTAAGAGAACAAAAAGCTTTCAAAATTGCAGAACATAAGATAATAGCATAGTTCTATGGATAAACTGTCATTGTGAAGAAGTATATATATGCCTGACATTATCCTTGTTTCAAATATTTCTAACCCACGCTAGATCAGAAATTCTGTAAGCAGGTCTTTCCTTGCCCAAATTCTAAAAGTATTTTCCTGAATGAAATTAAGCACTGTATCAAAAATAGGGGAAATATTAGTTGAAATTGTTTGCCTTGAAATTTGCTGCCAATTTTAACTTATCAGAACCAGCTTGTCCTTTGTAATTCAAATTCAGATGTTTACATCTTTCTAAGGATCAGCTCTCTAGACTTAGTTGCAAAAATGTCTGAAATGCCCACCCAAGGGAATATAGCATGTGTTTAACCCCTACACTCTGGAATTCATTTCCCGTCAAAATAGGGCTCTGTGCTGTTGGTGTCTGGCTGTAAATCCTGGCTTAAAAACTTTTCTCACAACTGCTTATGGTGTTTATTTTTGCTTTTGCCAACACAGGAGAATGACCCCAGCACACCAACCTATAAATTATTATTACAAATAGTTATATAGTTAATTTAATGAAAGAACGCATAATTCTGGTCAAATAATCAAACAGTCCATTCAGAATTTTGCAGTTTGTTCCCTAAGACTCATTGTATTTATGTCACCGTTTCCACATAGCCATTAGTAACTAATAATACTAATAACATTAGCATATAATAACGCTGGAAAAGACAATAATACTACCTAGTCTTTCCCAGTGAAAATCAGGGAGAGACAACAGCTCACAAAAGATATCAGCAGCAACACTGGGACTTATCCCAGGATTCATGCCCAACTATTTGAATAAAGTATATATTTCTTAGCTATGAATCTATGCAATCTATGAAATGACCATACAGCAGGCCATCAGGAGCTGGGCATGGCTGCTACTCCATTAGAGAAATGGGAGTTAATGGGGAGTTGTGCTGCTTCTTTTGACCAGAAGAAGCTTGACTACAAAGAAGTGCACTTGACTCTATTAGCTGTTCATTTCCACACCTCATGTTTCCTTTCCGCTGCCATAACTTTCCAACTTTAGTATAGTTTTGGGCCAAAACTTTGCTCTGACTATACTACATCCATAATTTAATAAAACTGTGCATGCATAACCAGCACTTCATAGCATAACTCTTTGAGGATATGATTGAATAGTTTATTTGACTGAATGGCTTTGATCTAGCTAGGAATTTTAGTTCCAGTCACAGACAAAGCATGTGTCGGTCACATTTTTATTCTGACTCTCAGCTGAGAAACTGAGTCACTATAAAAAGTATGCAGCAATTTATAAGAAATTAACCACAAAAGGCGTTTAAGTCCTGGATTTAAAATAGCATAAAGACACGTCATGAAGCAAAAAGAGAAGAACATTTTAAGACAGTAAGGGAATACAAAGGGGGAATGAAAACATCTTTGTTACACAGCTCTAGCAGCGAAATTCTGCATGGAGATGGTAACTTTCAAAAGGAAGAAAACACATCTGAGGAATTTCTTGTTTTTGGAGATCACACCTGGAAGGATATTGACTACTACTTCACGTGTTCATGACATGGAAATTATGAGTAAGGTTGTGCTCTCTCCTTTTCTCCTGTAAGCTGCTAAAACTTACAGTGAGCCACCACCTGGCTTTGTTATATCTGTCAGTGCTGCTTCCATCTTTAATGTTTTAATTTTCCCATCAAAGAAAATTGAGCACGTAACTCACAATTTACAGAGAGGAGTTACCAAAATACCTTATTATTGTCTTCTTCTTTAACCGTAACATGCCATGTAAATGGGATAGGTTTTATATTTTTTATCTCCCTATTTTTACATTTCAGAAAGCTTTTATACCCAGAAGAGATATACTTCTCCCTCTACTGCAGCATGAAAGTATTTTTAACATTTCTGATGGGCTGCCCAGGGAGGTGGTTGAGTCACTGTCCCTGGAGGTGTTCAAGAAACGTTTAGTTGTGGTACTGAGGGACATGGTTTAGTAGGGAAATATTGGTGATAGGTAGGCAGTTGAACTGAATGATCTTGGAGGTCTTTTCCAGCCTTGGTGATTTTATGATTCTATGATGACTGATTTTACACAACATGCATCTCCAAAATTTGAATGTTCTGTTTGTTTGTTGTTCTACTGGATTGTCTATTTTCTCTCCTTACAAGAAACATTATTAATGAAAAACAAAATACACAGCTTTAGGAAATGTTGATAGTGATGTAACGTAATAAAGATGCTAATGGTGCACAGATATGTCTGCAAACTCCGCAATACCAAAAGTAGTTGAGGAAGAATTGCTTTCTGTGGCAGTTATGTGCTGTGTGCCCTCTGCTGCTCACCAAGGGAAGCTCATGTTATCATCCAAAGCTGCCTTGTGCTGTGGTACTTGTAATCATGTCTTGGAGAGGTATTCAAACGCTTTGGTCATCTGTGTGCTCTTACAGTATGGTCTGTAAAATGCATCTACATCACAGATATGGTTAATTAACATTTTACATAATTCATGATAAATATACTGTTCCAAGTACTGAAGTGGCTAGTGATCTTTTGAAATGCACATAAACAGGGGGATAGTTTCTGGTTTAAAGGCTGAGAGGAGAAGTAAGTGCACTGAGAAACCCGTCCGAAGAAATAGTTTTCTAACTTTCATGGTGGTGTTGAAACACATGGGTATTACAGAGCAGCAACATTTGCAAGGGTTTGAGTCTTTCCCAGTCTTTTTCACTGGCATTGCTGGATCTTAATCCTTCTCTTGCCTAGACTCTGCTAAGCCTAAGAAGGAGAATGCAGAGTGAGAAAAGGAATTGCAGAAGTATCAGGAACAGCACTCTGTCAGGCAAGCTGCAGGAAACAGAGCAGATTGATGTGCGCTTCCTGACTGAGAAGAAGTACTTAAAGCCAACCCCCATCTTTACAGGGGATTTCCCAGCTCTATTCATGCTCTGATCTCAGGAGGCTGTGGTCAGACATCTCTCGCTGTTGCTGAGCAGCGGAGATGCGTGCAGCCTACCTCAGTGCACACTGCTGCCAGGCTGCTCCTCTTTTGCTTTCTTTGGAGCTGCCCCTGGAAATTGCCCTTTGCCTTTTAGCAGTTTTATTCTGAGTTGCTTTATTTCACTTGAAGGAAACACTGACTGCACTGACCCAGCCAGAGAGGTGGGTTGTGCCAGCAGTGAAGGGTGGCCATTTGCAGCAGAGTCGTTATGAGAGGTGAAAAGTGGTGTGCATGTGACTGCAACCTGGGCAACGAGCAGAACAGTCTTTGCAAGAAGCTACATATAGGCAAGAGGTTTTTTTCTCTCAGCTCTGTAAGCTAAGTGGAGCAACAAAGGAGAGCAGCTCTCACCTTCATTTGGTTGTCCAAGCACAGAATAAAAACAGAAGTTCTGACAGCTCAGCCTGAAAGTGTTGGTCAGTGGTTTTAACAGCTGTCCTAAATCCCTCAGTGCTGCTCAGTTACATTTCCCTTCGCTGTACTTAACCTCTTCTCAACTCTTCCCACATTGTTAGGGCTTCTGAGGAGGCTATAATAGCAATTTCTCCCCTATTATGTAAATATCATATAATGCATTTTTCCTAAAACTGCACCGTGAGTGTTTGCTTCAATGCCATAATTTCTCAGTTCTCTCAAGCACCCTTAAGTGCACTCAGCCCTCTGCATGGCATAAATCCGAGCTCTTAGATAAAGCAAGTCCCGTGTTAGGCCAGGTGTGGAATTCCTAATAAGTTGAAGCTGCTGTTTTCCAGGGAGGTGCGCTTAGAGGAAAGGGGGGTACTGATGGGCAGAGCTGGTTTTGTGTAGCTGCTTGAAAGCAAAGCCTCCAAAGAGAACTGTTGGTTGTGCCACCACCCCCCGAACTTATTGTCTGAGAAGCTTAGCAAACAGTTGCTTAAAAAGGAAAAAAATGCCACTTGCACTGCTATCTGGGATTTTGCAACTTTTTAGCAGTACAGAAAAGGGCTGGTTTTCTTTCTCCAGGTTCCTTGTTTTCCTCCTGATTTTTTCTTCTTGATTTACATGCATTTGTGCTGACAAGGCTTTGTGGGTCCTTCCCTGTGAGCACCAAAAGCCCTGCTCATCTCCTCAGACCAGAAGTGGAAGGGAAGCTAAGGAGTGCCAGGTTGTGTGCTTGCTCTGTGGAGCTGACTTTGCTCACAAAGCCAGCTCATGTGCCCATGTCGCCAGGGCTGGCTGTGCCACCCATGCAGCAGGGAGGCTTTGAAAACCGCAGGCGTTTGGAGCAGCTTATGAAAATGTGTGCCAAGAAAGCCCTCCTTTTGTTCATTGTGACTTTAGCTGGCCACAATTCCCTTTCCAAGTGGTCTAACAAAATGCAGGGACTCTTTTCTGTCGGGTAGTCTCTTTCTTTGAACTCACTCTAGCTACCGTATTGGTTTAATACAAACAACAAAGAAGTCAGTACAAGGAAATATCTTTCTGTATAAGAGAAAAGTCATGTGATGTGTTCTAGTGAATGAGAACGTTCCATGATTGAAATGAAATATCGTGGTTCTGTTCCCTGTGCAAAAGTGTAATTGCCTACTGTGGAAGTCTAGCTCTCAAATTACACCCAAATATCCTGACATTACATTTGTTTTTTTTTCTTCCTCCATGCTGTGGCTCTACAAAAGTAATACAGTTTGAAGAGGCTGGATTATAAAGAGGAGGGAAATGAACTTTATGCATAGTGAGATAGTGATAGGACAAGGGAACATGGTTCAAAACTAAAGGAGGAGAGATTTAGGTTACATACTGGAGGAAGTTTTTCACAGAGAGGCTGATGAGGTGCTGGATCAGGCTAACCAGAAAGGTTGTGGATGCCCCATCCCTGGAGGTGTTCAAGGCCAGGCTGGATGGGGCCATGGGCAGCCTGAGCTGGTAGGGGGTGACCAGCCCATCATGGCTGGGGGTTGGAACTAGATGATCTTTGAGGTCCGTTCCAACCCAACCCATTTTGTGATTACATACATTTAGAGTTGGTTTAATCTGCTCAGGAAGTGAAGAAAATATGTCCCGAAAGCTTGGCTTGGAGGTAGGTTTTTTTGGGGGGTCTGCTTTTGCTTATGGCCAGGTCAGTCCTCTGAAAGTTGTGTTCCACCACTGCAACCCTAATTGCTAGTTCTCAGGATTTAAGTCCTGAGTGTCCTTAGTAGAGACTGAAAGAGAACGATTTTCCCACAAATATTTTTGCAGTAAGAACAAATAAGATTTTTTT